TGTTAGCAACCAAGTAGAAAATACAGTACAAAATCAGAGTACTTTGTTAGGACTTCAAAATCCTGATACTGGTAGGAATACATTACATTTGCCAATACAACGTAGACGGTTAGGAGTACCAGCAGAATTAAGTTCAAACATTGTTAAGGAAGATATTTCTTTTGATAGGAGTACTGAATCATACAGTTTTGTACCAAATTTGTGTCAATCAAGTACTGAGTTAGTAAATATGAGTGTAATTACTTCTTTAGAGGCAGCATTTCGAATATTACCAAAGTTTGACAAACAAGACTCTGAGGGCTTACATAATTTCATAAAGTCATCAGAATTTTCTTTTTCATGTATTAGCGAAGAAATTAAACCCATAATATTAGGAGCAATAGTAGCGAATTTAACAGCAAAAGCAGCTCAGGTTGTCCGATTTAAAAAAATAGATTCATGGGAAGAATTGAAAACACAGTTAAAAAATTGTTTTGAACCACAACATACTTCCACACATTTGATGTTAGAATTGACCACAACTCGTCAGAAATATGATGAGGAAATTAGTACATTTTATAGTCGGTTAGAAAAACTATTTCATTTAACGTTAAATGTGCAAACCAAAGATAAAAGTGTAGCAGTGGCAGAAGTCATAGAGGGAATTTTAAAAACCCAAACATTAAGTATTTTTATCGAGGGACTAAGACAACCTATAAAAATGTTAGTAAAGGCAAGTCATCCGAGTACAATTGAGGAAGCATTTGCGGTGGCTCAGCAGGAGGAAACGTCATACAAATCAGATAAGAAAATGCAATCAAAAATTCCGAGGCAAGAAGCAGCGAAAATTACATGTTTCAACTGTGGCAAAGTAGGTCACATGGCCAAGGTATGTAGGTCAAGATCAAATCATCAATTTATAAAACAGCCACAAGAAAATCAGAAGAACTGGGTTACGAATACTGGGCAAAATTCAAAACCAAACAATTGGTCAGCAAATATTCATCGGCAGACGGCAGAAAGTAATAGTGCAATTAATAACAAGACAATTGTTTGTAAATATTGTAAGAAACTAGGTCATGAAATTGGAGTATGCAGGAAATTAAAATATAACAATGAAAAAAGAGCTGGTCAAGCGAATTCAAGTTCAATGTCAGAACCATCAACTTCGGGAAACGAGACAGGGTCGATTTAGAACGGCGAACGATCGGTCCAGGAAATCAAAGCAACAGCCGTAACATTTCAAGAGCATTTAAATTAAAGGCACAACTTTTTAAAGATCACATTATATGTCAAGCTAGGGAATTCGTTAATCAGAAATCAAGATTTTTACTTGACACTGGTAGCGAAGTAAATATAGTAAAATTATTGTCATTAAAAGACGACGTAAAAGTTAACGAAAAAATTTTATATCGATTAAAAGGGATTAATGAATATTTTGTGAACACAATTGGGTCAGTAAATATAATGGTAAATTTTGGAGAAGAAAAAAGACAAGTAAGGTTTCAAGTTGTTAACAATAATTTTCCAATACCTCATGATGGAATTTTAGGTAAAGAGTTTTTAGAGGATAACAAGATAGCAATTGATTATGCAAAAAATGAAATAACGTCAACACTTACTGAAGACAATTTTACAGTAGTGAATCAAGACACTCCGCATATAGATAATTTAGACATTGCAGTAGTACCACCGAGATCGGAAATGATAATTCCAGTAAAAATCACAGATAATCGAATAAAGGAAAATGATACAGTGATTATATATTCACAAGTATTGCAAAATCGTGTTCAATGTGGTAATGTAATTACTAAAGTGAAGAATCGGCAAGTGTTAACAAAAATTGTCAATCAAAATGAAAATTCTATTAAGTTACAGTCAGTAGATTTGAATAATTTATTATATGAGAAATTTGAAGAAGCGAACGTACAAGTGTGTATTAAAAATGCAGAAGATCGGAGTAATGAAAAGCGGTTACAGTTGTTGGAGAAGTCGTTAAGATTGCAGCATCTCAATAAGGAAGAATACCAATCATTAAAAAATATATTTAATCAATATTCAGATGTTTTTTTATTAGAAGGTGACAGGTTGGACGGGACATCAGCAATACAACATAGAATTAGAACAACACCCGATATTCAACCGATTTATATTAAACCATATAGGTTACCACAGAATCACAAAAAAGAGATATCAACGCAGGTAGATCAAATGGAAAAAGATGGAATCATTACAAAGATTACTTCACCTTGGAACGCCCCGTTAATAGTGATACCAAAGAAGGTCGACTGTTCAGGGAAACAAAAATTTCGTATTTGTGTAGATTTCAGGAAATTAAATAATATTACGATCGGAGATGTGTTTCCGATTCCTAATATAAATGATATTTTGGATCAACTAGGCAATTCTAGATACTATACGACTTTGGATTTAGCGAGCGGATACCATCAGGTGTCGGTACATGCAGATGATAGAGCTAAGACATCATTTTCAACAGATAAAGGACATTATGAGTTTCTTAAAATGCCTTTCGGATTAAAAGGAGCGCCGAGTACTTTCCAAAGATTAATGAACACTGTGTTATTAGGAATAAATGGAATAAAAGCATTTGTATATATAGATGATGTTATTGTATATGCTCATGATTTAAGAGATCATAGTGAAAAGTTAAAGTTAAATTAAAAAGTTAAAAAGTTAAATTTTCCAAAGGTTCAGAGATTATAATTTAAAAGTACAACCTATGAAATGTGAATTTTTGCGTCACGAAGTTATATATTTGGGTCATATTATCACAGAACAAGGATTGAAACCAGATCCATCAAAAATTTTGAGTGTAAAAAATTTTCCAGAACCAAAGAACCAAAAGCAATTGAAAAGTTTTTTAGGACTATCAGGATATTACCGTAGATTTATAAAAAATTATGGTAAGATCGCAAAACCGTTAACCATATTGTTGAAAAACGATACACTGTATGATTGGACAGATCTTTGTCAACAGGCATTTATAACGTTAAAAGATGCATTGGTGAGTGAACCTATTCTTAGTTATCCGGATTTCGATAAACCATTTAATGTAACGTGCGATGCAAGTAACTTTGCGATTGGATCAGTTCTTTCACAAGGTCCAATAGGGGAAGATTTACCAATTGCATACTCATCAAGGGTACTGAATAAAGCAGAACAAAATTATGGTACGACAGAAAAAGAGTTATTAGCTATCGTATGGAGCTTAAAACAATTAAGACCATATTTACTGGGAAGAAAATTTTATATATTGACAGATCATCAGCCTCTTAGATGGTTGGTTAATCACAAGAATCCAGGATCAAGGTTGATGCATTGGAGATTAGCAATGGAGGAGTATGAGTACGAAATTATTTATAAACCAGGCTTATTAAATACTAATGCTGACGCTCTCAGTAGAATACCACAAATTATGCAAATAGAAGGGGAACAAGTAGTAAGCAGTGCAACATATAATGAATATATGGAGTATATTAAGACAAATATAGTCCAAAACTTAAATATTATAGAATTAGCAGGTGATATTTTTGAAGACGAACATTCACATCTCGTACATTATGTATCACGGGAATTGACGTTAAAAGAAGGATTGGCACTGGAATTCCGAAGACGATTCGGGAATCTGGAAAGTAATCAAAATAAAAAAGTTACAGATTTAGTATATTTCAAAGAAGGTAATCGTTATATAATATATATGATTTTATCTGAGAAAGGAAAAAGTCCAATTACTTATGAAAATATGTATAATTGTCTACAGAATTTAAAAACATTTTGTTTAAACAATCAAATTACAGATTTAGCAGTATCAAAAACAGGTGATCAAATTTTTCAGCTCGATTGGGCAACAGTAAGAATAATGATAAGATATTTGTTTAAAGGCACTAGTATAAAAATCAAAATATTTACACCGAATGAACTTACGGATCAAGAAAAAAGAATTATTATCAAAGAAATGCACGAGAATCCTTTGGCAGGACACAGAGGGATTTCAAATACAATAAAAAAAATTAAAAAACGGTATAATTGGCCAAGAATGTCAAGAGAAGTAACAGATTATGTACAAAAATGTCAGTCATGTCAAAAGAATAAAACTTCGAATAAGCATACAAAGCAACCGATGGTTATTACTTCCACGGCAGACAAGCCATTCCAAAAAATATTTATGGACATAGTAGGACCACTTCCTATTACACACAAAGGGAATAAATATGTACTGACAATGCAAGATGATTTAACAAAATTTAGCATTGCGACACCTATGGTATGCCATGAAGCTAATACTGGAGCGCATAGTTTTGTGAACTCATTTGTTTGTATACATGGAATTCCAGAATCAATAGTATCTGATCAGGGAACAGAGTTTTTAAGTAAAATTTTTTCAGAGGTATGTAAACTATTAAAAATTTCTAAGTTCAACACAACACCATATAGACCACAAAGTAATGGAGCATTAGAGAGAAGTCATTCAACATTAGGGAATTATTTGCGACATTATGTCGACAAAGATTTGGCAAATTGGGATGAATTCATTCCATATGCAATGTATGTATATAATACAACAGAGCATGAAACAACGAAATTCCAACCGTATGAACTACTTTATGGATTTCCAGGGAAAATACCAACATCATTAAAGAAGACACCCGAACCAAGGTACAATTATGAGGATTATAATTATGAGATTAAGCAAAAATTTCAACAGTCTTATGAAATTGCAAAACAACGGATAGTGAATACAAAAGAAAATACAAAAGGTCGATATGATAATAAAGTTAATCCACTTAGGCTAAAAATAAATGACAGAGTATGGCTTATGGAAAAACAACAAAAAAATTAATTAGCACAAAAATGGTTAGGACCGTATGTAATAGCAGAAATAAATAATAATGAAAATGTAACAATCATGAGAGGAAAAAAATTAATTAAAGTACATAGAAATCTATTAAAACTATGTAATCAATAAAATATAAAAAAAATTTAAATTAGTACCTAAAGCAATGATATCTTATTATTACAGGATATCAATCTTACAACCTATCATGGCAACAAATTTGACAGGAAATTATCAGATAAAAGAAATTGAATCACCATCAGGAATTTTTTTTAATCATTTAACAAAAATAAAAACAACAAATTCAAAGTGGAAATTGTCAGTCTATGTGAATTTAACTACGTATGATGATAATTTTGAACAAATTAAGAAATTTCAAAAGGAAACGGTAAAACATTGTTTAAAAATTGCAAAAAACACAGAGATAGTTCCAGTAGAGCACTTGGTAATTTGGTCGTATTTATGCGAGCAATTTAATACAACAACAACATCATATATCCATGACATAGAGAAAACGCGACAACAGATAAACTATGCAGTTAGTAGAAACGAACGCTATAGAAGAGGATTGATAAACGGAATTGGTAGACTATCAAAAACGTTATTTGGAATATGTTCGGACGAAGATTATGAATTTTTTGATAAGAAAATAAGCGAAATAAGCGAAAAACAAATTAGGGTCATTCACGATATGCAACAGCAAACGCGGATAGTACAGTCAACAGTACATGATGTGGATAAAGAAATGGTGAAAATACAACAAAGCGAAACAGCGATAGTAAATAATATAAATAAGTTGCAAAATACAGCGAACAGAGCCGATAAAAGGATAAATGAAATGGAAGTTAGACAGATAATGAACGAGCAAACTGAGGAGTTAAATGTTTTGTTAACACAACATTCATTCCAAACTCACAATCTAGTGGCAATAGTAAATACAGCACAAGTAGGTCATATGCATTCTAGCATTATTTCAGCGACAAATTTTTTAGCAGAATTGCAACAAGTGAGAATACAATTAGATTCGAGAGAGAACTTTACTAAGTTAATGAAAATGAGTAACTTCCAAGTAATAAGAGTAGCAGATACATTGATATTCATAATAGCCATTCCGATAGTCGACACAAGAGAGTACCGCCTATACAAGTCAATACCATTGCCTATAAAGCAGAAAAAGTCAGTATATGCGTTAATTCAACCAACGAACAAATACTTAGCCATGTCCGAGGATAATGTGTACTCAATATTCATTGATGACATAGAGTTAAGCAAATGCATACATATGCAAGAATATTATATTTGTTCGAACACACAGACGCACTATATTCAAGAAACGGACAATTGTGAAGCGAAATTATTTAGTAGTCAGGATAGAGATGTAATACCAAAAGCGTGTGAAATAAAAGTTACACGCATTCAAAAATTAGTAATACACAAATTAGATAATGAGAATGTTTGGTTGTACACAGCAGAGCAACCAGCGACGATCAACATCGTTTGTGCGAGGGGAGAACCAGTGTTGCAAACCTTGAAAAACACAGGTACAATCTCTCTGACGTATCCGTGTCATGCGATAACGAAAGAATATGAGCTAACCCCCACCAGATCGATAGTGACGAAAACATCGTATGATTTCATTCCAAGGGTGAACATAACGGCGATTATGAAACAATATTACACTAGTAGGATAGAGGATGATTTTCCAAAACTGAATAATTCATACAACCCTGATTTTCATTCATTAGCAAATAACGCAAAACAATTAGATTTATTATTAAAGTCACAGGTAGATAATAGTGGAGAATACGTAACTGTGTCTAATATAACATACGTAACAATAGGAATAGGTATAGGGATATTAGTGTTAATAATTGTAATAAGTAAGATAAGTTTTAGCCTATACAAGCAAAATAAAATGTCAATGAATTATATTAAAGCATTAATAAATACAAAATCAGTAGACGACATACAATGCGTAGAAATTAAGTAGATTTAAGATGTAATTATGTAATGATTTATGAATGTGTAAAATATTTGTTTTTTTAAAAAAAGAAAAAAAAAAAGAATGTAATAAGAAAATTAACTCATGAGGGCATGAGCTTTCATTCAACAAGGGGAGTGTTATGGATTAGTATTATTAAACATAGGAAGTAAGTAAGGATGTAGCAGTATTTGTAAAACATTTAGAATTGTGAAATAAATTGATTATTGTAAATTAGTGTAAACAGGCACAATCCCGAAAACTGCAAGTAAGCACTTTTATATAGGAGGGATTGTCCTAGATAAGTTTAGATATAAGGAACGTTAAGATGTTAAGACGGGAGTGGAGAATGGAGAGTGCCATTGTCTGCATATGTTCAGAACGCAATAAACTTTATTAATTGAATAGTAAACGTGTGTGTTACTTTATTTACTAAATCTACCTACAAACTCTACAAGTACGAGGCTACGGTCAACCGACTTGTAACAATATGGAAAAATAATTAAAAACCAAATTTTAAATTTAGAAACAATTTATAAACAATACTCTTTGGAATTAATGAGAATAAATAAAATTTTACATTATACGGGGATACAGGGAATACGGCTATACAGGGAAAACTATACACATTAGTAATATCCTCAGCTCAATTATTAGAAGAAATGAAAACAATTAAATTATTAAACCTTCCATCTAATTTAGACATCCTGGTAAAACTAGACCTATCGGATATGTCAGATTTTTAAAATTATGCAAACAACTATTGTTAGAAATAATGATATAATTATGTTTATTAATACTGTTCCAATTGTTTCTAGTACTTTATACAATTTATATAATATTATACCAAATCCAATGTAAATAGAAAACAATATTTATATGTTCATTAAACCTAGGATTAAGTATTTAGCTTTAACTATCGATCAAGAGTATTATGTTAACTTAGATCAAAACGAATTTAGTATGTGCTACGACACAAAACATTTTAAAGTATGTAAAAATCTTGTAACTCAGAGGGTGACAACATCAGATGATTGCGAAATCAATTTAATTATTAATACAAAATTAGCAAATATTGAAAATGTTTGTAAGTTTAAATACACGTCAATCAAACACGGTATTTTCCATAAGTTAATGTCGGCAAGTTCATGGTTATATACAGTAAATCAACAAAATTGAATTATTACCTGTTTAAATTATAATCAAATTATTAAACAAATTTATGGTACAGGAATTATATTTCTTAGTGAACAATGTTCCGCTTCGTCTGCAGGTTATCATATGATACCATTCAGAACTATGTACTCTAATATGGATTCAGACGTTATTCCAAACATAAATATATCTCGCTACACCCATAACCCCCCCCCCCTTATGTAAAAAATGTACTACCTTCGGAGTCTATTTTTGAACATTATGAGGAAAATTAAGTTGTCACCCAAAACAATACAAATAACGAATCAATAATAGCAAATATTGGTTTAATTAGTTGTACTTGTATAATATTGTTAATTATAATATTTAGCTTAAGCATAATAATTAGGGTCGCGTCACACTATCGCGGTTGCACCGCGCGGTAGCTACCGCGCGGTTTCGTTCATAAATATCATCACATGTGTATTTATGGAACGTGACACACTTGGGCGTTTCCACCGCGTTCTACCGCTAGCCGCCGCACAACGCCGTTGCGTGTCGCGGTTTGACGGCAGCGCCGCTAGAACTATTTTCAACCGCTCAAAATAAAAACCCATGGTTTTCAATCACATGCACCACACTACAGCGGCAGCAACGCGCGTTTTCAGTGTAAAATATACGTATATTAGCAATTTATTCAAAATGAGTTTTTTCGACACTGAACTTTTTATTGTGGAAGTCGAAAAAGAAGAGTGCCTTTGGAAAATGAATTCCAAAGAGTATATGGTGGACCGCTATGTTAAAGCAAAAGCCTGGGCCAAAATTGCTTCAAACATGTATGATGAATGGGAAAGTTATAACAAAGAAGAACAAGAACTTAAGAGTAAGTTTAAAATTTTTATATATTTATTTTTTATTTTTTATATACATATATTAGGTATTACTTATCCATGTAATGACATTACAATTAGTAATTATAATATTATAATTTGTTAGTTATTAAACTGTATACTAAATATTAATAAGAAATTTTATTTAAAAACAATTTAAATGATACGGGGTTGAAAAGTAACTGATCCAGCGTTTAAAAAATATTCAGCAAAGTAATCGCGAACATCAATTCCTTGATGGCGAGCTCCTGCATTCCCGTAGTTTTGAATACCTTCTAAAGGATTACTAAGTGTATATTCAAAAATATATCCGTCTCTTCTGCGCACATAATTATGAAGAATACAACAAGATTTCACAATAATATCCGTAAAATCAGGCTCAACTAGTATTGGAGTGTGCAATACTCTCCATTTATTAGCGAGAATACCAAACGTACATTCCACTATTCGTCTGGCTCTCGACAATCTGTAGTTAAATATTCTCCGTTTATCTGTGAGTCCACGTCCCGGATACGGTCTCAGTAAATTTTTATGGAGGCCAAACGCTTCATCAGCGACTATAACAAAAGGCTGTGGAGAATCCGTGGTATTGGGTAAACAAGTTGGTGGTGGCAGATTAAGTTCTTCAGAATAAAGTTTTTTTCCAAAAGGACAATCTTTAAAAACTGTAGAATCACTCTCTCTACCATAGGCACCAACATCAATAGTCGTAAAACAATAATCTGCATCGACAACGGCCATTAATACAATCGAGAAATACTTCTTGTAATTGAAAAACATAGTTCCCTCATTTTTTGGATTGATACATCTAATATGTTTTCCATCAACTGCTCCAATACAGTTGGGGAAATTAGTTTTTATGTAAAATTGGTTTGCAATTTCCAACCAATTATCGGGATTGTTTGGATCTGGCATTTCTTTTGGTTGTAAGGTAGTCCATAATACACTACATGTTTCCCGAATAATTGTACCAATTGTGCTCCGACCTAATAAAAATTCATACTGCAAAGCAACAAAATTGGTTCCCGTTGATAAATATCTGAAATAAAATTTCAATTTTAGATTCTGAGCAAAGCAAAAAAAAGGGGGTCAAGTGGATGTCGCTCAGCTGTACAGTAGGTTACAAGTAGGTCACAAAATATATATATATATATATATTGTGACCTACTTATATATAGGTCCTATATATATATATCAATCTTGTAAAAATTTAAACTTAAATTGCTCATAAACATATATTTTGACTTGTTTATAAACATTTTTTTATTGATAAAATTAGGCAAACTTATGAGGAATCTTGTATTACATTTTCAAACCTTAGATTTAAAAAGAAAAGTTTTTATGTATTTCTAACTCAAAAATTGCAAATTTTCGTCATTTTTACGTATTTTGTCAAAATTTGAACTTTGAATTAAAAAATAAACATACATCATTGTAAAATCAATACATTCATCGCTCCGCTCAGAATCTAAAATTGTTGAATTAATAATAGAAAATGTATTACTACCCACCAATGTTGTGCAAAATTATATCTAGAAATTATTAGAATAAAAAAGGTGGGTAAATGGATGTCGCTCTGCTGTACAGTAGGTTATAAGTGGGTCACTGTAATGGATGGTGTTAAATTTGAATTCAATGATATAATATCATTGTATAAGAAAAACGATTCTGAGCGAAAACAGTCAGTCAGCTTATGGTATTACTAAGTATATTTGATGATATTAAGGTGAATAATGTAATTTATATTTAACCTATTTACGTGGAATCTTGTTTTAAATTTTCAATCCTTAGCTATAAAAGTTGAACATTTTATAAATTTTTAACTACAATATAATTATTAAATTTAAAATTTGTAAAATTTTGTCAAAATTCGAACTTTAAATCCTTATAAAAAAAAATTGTGCCTATGTATTTTAAATATTTTTCAACTGCTATTGTAACAATATATCAGGAGTCTTGTATTAAATTTTCACGCATTTTTAACCAACAAATAAAATTTTATTGATATTTATAGAAAAAAAAAACTAAAAAAATTGAAAACTGACAATGTCCGTAAACAGTTCAAAAAAAGTCAAATTATTTTCAAAATTTTATCGTGTTTATCTACATCTAATTCTTTACATTATTCTATTGATATACATATTTATTTTATTTATAATATTTTTGCGTTAATTCCAAAAAAAACAGATTTTATTATTTTATGTATTTATAGTCGAAGAATTAAAAAAAAAATGGAAACACTTAAGAGATAATTACACCAGAGACATAAATGAGACAAGAAAAATTCAGAGTGGATCAGAAGCCAGGAATACAAAAAGATATACATATTCTGACATATTATCTTTTTTACAACCTGTTGTAAAGAAAAGAAAGTAAGGATATATATTATTCCGATATATTTCGCATTATATAAGAATTATTTTTTTTATTAATGATTATGTTTATTAGAACTACTGGAAATATTGAGACTCCGACATGCTCTTCTGATAATGCGATCTCTACAGACGAACACGGTGATGAAGGGCAATGTCAGTTAGATGAGTCTGTAGCGGAATCAGTGCACGAGGAATGTGATGGGTCAGTATCGAAACAACAAAAAAGAAAAAAAGAACAGATTACGCCTTTTCAAAAAAATTTATTACATTTAATGAAAAACCCACCCATACATAAACCTGAAGATTTTGATGCTGACAAATCCTTTCTTTTATCATTTTTACCGGATTTAAAAAAAATGAACGAAAACCAAAAATTAGAGCTGAAAATACAATTTATGCAGTCAGTAAAAAATATTCTAAATCCTTCACAGACTCTTTCTTTTGAACATCATAAACCATATCCACATCAATTTAATTACTATCAAAACGATGGTTACTCTCCTAACTCAGCCAATTATAGAAATAATCATCAACAATTTCTTCCAAACTTTCAAACTGATCTCTCTCATTCATATCATTATTCTCATACATCACCTCACACATCGCCTCAACTACATTCCTATCCAGGTTCTCCTAACGTTGATGTGAATCATAGTAATTTAAGTAGTCAAGATGAAAATTCTCACCACACTATATAACAGTTTTTTTTAACATTAAGTAAGTAAAATTTGAAAGGATTTCCTCATTTTTTTATTATTTTATTTTATTTTATTCATCTATAATTTATGTATTATTATAATATTTTATTAAATATTCTGTTTTAATATCTTTTAATTTCACTTACTATATTTTTAATGATTTAAGGAAAAAAATTTTAAATATAGTATTTACATACAGTAGAAAACTAAAAAAATATATTTTATTTTATGATAAATGTATGACAAGCAACATGTATTAATTATAAATAAAGAAATCAGAATTTTTAAATAGTCTACTATAATTCTTTATATATTATAAATATATTTTTTTTTTATGTTACCTTATTGTGAGGGTGAGTCTTTCTTCTGCAGAAACGGGATTGCGAAATGGTGTAATTTGTTTTGTTATATATGGACGCACATTCTCCAAAAGTTCATCAAATGATTGAATGGACATTCTGTAATATTCAAAGAACTTCTGTGGATACTGTCTTATGTCCAAATAAAATTTTTTAAAACGCTCATTATCTTCGCGGCTTTTATTAAATGGATGTACCCAAAATTCTCTTTCTTTTCTTGGAGAATTTAAATACCCAAAAGAGTCTGCGATTGATATTACTTGCAAAGAACGCATGTAATAATTGTAATCCATCCTACTCAACATAAATGTATTAGTTAACTTAAATTGAAGTAAATGAGGTAGGTAAATATAATAAGGATTTTTTTTTTACAAATTTAGGTTAATTACTGTCAATTATAATGGAAATCGAACTTACTTTTGATCTTCTTACTTCTGATGAAGGATGAACTTAAATAAAAAATTGAACTTACTTGTGATATTATAATATATTATAATCACTATGCACAACCCACGTGGACAACGGAAATTGCACAACTGAGAGCATAATTCCGCATAAAACCGCTTGAAGTGTGACACGAATTTACCGCGCGGTAGTTTTAACGCGGTAGCTACCGCGCGGTGCAACCGCGATAGTGTGACGCGACCCTTATAGTATACAAACGAAAAATAAAAAAAAAAAGGTGGGCAAGTGGGTGTCGCTCTGCTGTACAGTAGGTTACAAGTGGGTCATTGTATAATGGATGGTATTAAACTTGAATTCAATGATATAATATCATTGTATAAGAAAAACGATTCTGAGCGGAGACGGTATGTCCTTCTAGGTATAAGACATATTATATACATATCTATGGTATTAAAAAAATTGACCTATAATGAATTCCAAATTAATCATATCACAATATCCATTAGGTACTTATAACGCGTTATACACCAACAACAAACCCTGATACTATCATAGATATATATAGTAGATTACTTTAGAAATTTCAAGTACCCACGAATAATATTATACAATCACAACAAAATAACTAAAATCGTAATTCTTGGTTTAAGTATGAAATTTTGTCTAAATTTGAAATTAAAATGTCTGTAAAAAATAAGTGTGTTTATATATTTTTTAGATTTTTTGGTTACAGTATGAATTATTTAAGAGAATCTTTGTTTTAAATTTTCAACTCTTAGTTATAAAAACCGAACATTTTATAATTTTTTAATTCCAACGATTGATAATTTTCGAGATTTTGATAAATTTTGTCAAAATTCCAACTTTAAATGCTTATAAAAAAAAATCGTGCCTATGTATTTTTAAAATTTTTCAACTGATATTGTAACAATATATAAGAAAGCTTGTATTAAATTTTCAGACTTTTTGGCCCACCAAATAAAATTTTATTGACAATTATAAAAAGGTGGGCAAGTGGGTGTCGCTCTGCTGTACAGTAGGTTACAAGTGGGTCACTGTATAATGGATGATATTAAATTTGAATTCAACGATATAATATCATTGTATAAGAAAAACGATTCTGAGCGGAGACAGTATGTCAGTCTAGGTATAACTGTATAAGACATATTATATACATTATACATATCTATGGTACTAAAACAAAATTTGACCTATAATAGGTAGGTACCTATAATAAATTCCAAAATTAATCATATCAAAATATCCATTAGGTACTTATAACCCGTTATACATCAACAAAAACCGTGATACTATCATAGATATATAATAGTACACTTTAGAAGTTTCAAGTACCCACGAATAATATTATTCAATCACAACAAAATAACGAAAATAGTTTTTCTAGGTTTTTTAATATGTAATTTCGTTCAAATTTGAATTTAAAATGTCTGTAAAAAAAAACTGTGTTCATATATTTTTTAGATTTTTTGGTTACAGTATGAACTATTTACGAGAACCTTTGTGTTGAATTTGCAATCCTTAGCTAGAAAAACTGAAGATTTTATAATTTATTAATTACAATGATTGATAATTTTCGAGATTTTGATAAATTTTGTCAAAATTTGATCTTTAAATGCTTATAAAAAAAAACTGTGCCTATGTATTTTTAATATTTTTCAACTGATATTGTAACAATATATCAGGAGCCTTGTATTAAATTTTTACACTTTTTGGCCCAACAGATAAAACTTTATTGATATTTAGAGAAAAAAAAACTAAAAAAAATTGAAAGCTGTAAATGTCCATAAACAGCTCAAAAAGAGTCAAAATATTTTCAAAATTGTATGGTGTATAGGAAATGATAATTTAAACATTCAGTGAATTTTTCATGTATCTACAACTGTTCGTCTTTGAATTGCAACAAAATAAGGAAATCGCTACATGAGAAATCGAGTGAACATCCAATGTTGTAAAAATTTGAATTTCAAACGCTCATAAAAATTTAATTTGACATTCCGGTAGAGATTTTTTTATTGATAAAGGTAGAAAAACTTATGAGTAATCTTATATTACATTTTCAAATCTTAGATTTAAAAAGAAAAATTTTTACGAATTCTTAACTCAAAATAATTTGCTAATTTTCGTGATTTTTCCATATTTTATCAATTTTTGAACTTTAAATGCTTATAAAAAAAAATTGTGACTAAGGATTTTTAATATTTTTCATCTGCCTTTGAAACAACATATTAGGAGCCTTCTATTAATTTTTCAAGCTTTCGCAACCAACAAATAAAATTTTATTGATATTTCTAGAAAAAAAACTAAAAAAAAATGAAAAATGAAAATGTCCCTAAACAGTTCAAAATAAATCAAAATATTTTGAAAATGTTATCGTGTATAGAAAATGCAAATATAAACAACCAGTGAAAATTTCATGTATCTACGGTCATTTGTTTTAAAGTTACACCAAAAACCAAATTCGATTTTTTGGAAAATCGATTTTGCGTAAAAATTCCCGTTTTTCCTTAATTTTTATGTTGTTTTTTCCCGGCGCTTGTGAAAACTACTGGAAAATGTTTACTTTTGACCCCCCAAAGTACCAACTAGATTCACTTTCCTATCAGAAAAGGTACTATTGAAGAAAATCGAAGCACTTTTACTGTCCCAAAACGTGATGACAGACACAAAAAAAAATATAAAAATATAAAAATATAAAAACACACATCATTGTAAAACCAATACATTCATCGCTCCGCTCAGAATCTAAAAAAAAAACTAAAAAAAATTGAAAACTGAAAATGTCCGTAAACAGCTCAAAAAGAGTCAAAATATTTTCAAAATTGTATGGTGTATAGGAAATGCTAATATAAACATTCAGTGAAATTTTCATGTATCTACAGTTATTCGTTTTTGAATTACAACAAAATAAGGAAATCGCTACATGAGAAATCGAGTGAAAATCCAATGTTGTAAAAATTTGAATTTCAAACGCTCATAAAAATTTAATTTGACTGTCCGGTAGAGATTTTTTATTGATAAAGGTAGATAATCTTATAAGGAATCTTGTGTTTCATTTTCAAATCTTAGATTTACAAAGAAAAATTTTTACGAATTCTTATCTCAAAATAATTTGCTAATTTTCGTGATTTTTCCATATTTTGTAAATTTTTGAACTTTAAATGCTTATAAAAAAAAATTGTGACTAAGGATTTTTAATATTTTTCATCTGCCTTTGAAACAACATATTAGGAGCCTTCTATCAAATTGTCAAGCTTTCGCAACCAACAAATAAAATTTTATTGATATTTTTAGAAAAAACACTAAAAAAAAATGGAAAATGAAAATGTCCCTCAACAGTTCAAAATAAATCAAAATATTTTGAAAATGTTATCGTGTATAGAAAATGCAAATATTAACAACCAGTGAAAATTTCATGTATATACGTTCATTTCTTTTAGAGTTACACCAATAACCAAAATCGATTTTTTGGAAAACCAATTTTGCGTAAAAATTCCCGTTTTTCCTTAATTTTTATGTGGTTTTTCCCGGCGCTTGTGAAAACTACTGGGAAATGTTTACTTTTGACCCCCCAAAGTACCAACTAGATTCACTTTCCTATCAGAAAAGGTACTATTGAAGAAAATCGAAGCACTTTTACTGTCCTAAAACGTGATGACAGACACAAAAATATAAATAAAAATATAAAAACATACATCATTGTAAAACCAATACATTCATCGCTCCGCTCAGAATCTAAAATGTAAGCCAACCTAGTTTGACGGAACCAGCCAACATAGAAACAGAAGTAGTTCTTAAAGGAAGGAAAATCATCACCCAAAATAATTTTGTAAACATAGGGTCATGATCTCACGTCTAGCCCGGGGGGTGTTATGAACGCATTAGCTATTAGTATATAGTATTAGCCTGTTTTATTAAAATATAAGAGTATATTATTGTAGTCTGCGGGTAACGCCTAATGTTCCGCGACTCCCGGAATATTGTAGCTACACGGCAGCCGCTAGGGAACCGTAGAGTCAGTCGTCTTAGCTCTTTTAAACCTGTACGTCGTTCTGACAGTCAATAATAAATATTACATTGAATTATATATTTCAGCTCACAATAAAATTATATTAGTATATAAATCTTTAAAACTGTTTTGTTGTACTCTCTCCAAAAATTGAACCCTCACACTACCGAAAAAACAACGTTCAAACGGAACAACCCGTACGAGCACAACAGACTCGTGGTCAACTAATCATTTATTATAATTAATAAGTATATCAAATTCTGTGCACCAGTTATGCCCTATACCTTTACTAAGGTAATTTTTTAATTGTGTTTAAAATGTAATACAAATTATTTGTATACATTATTTAACTTATTTTCTACATTACAGAAAAATATGTCATTTGATACTGAGCATTTTATTATGTCTATTGAACAAAAAATAAGTATTTGGAACACATCATGTACCGATTACAGAAACCGTGATTTAAAATTAAAAGATTGGGAAGATATTGGAAGAACTATGAAACTTAATTTTAAAGATTTCTCTGGGAAACAAAAGGATGACTACAGTGAGTATCTACCTACATTATAATAATAATAGTATTTATAAGCAAAATTTATTTAATAATGCATTTGTGTGATCATAATATAACATAATAGAAAAAAATTAATATTATAATGTTCCACCTTCACGTAATGCTACTTATGATTACATAATAATAGTATTATTATTAAATATTAATGTGCCTAATACATACAAATATATTTATTATTTAGTAACAAATTATTTAATTTTAAAATACTGCCACTTCAACAAGCCTACTGGCTATTAAAATATTTAGCATAATATTCTCTGACGTCTTTAGCGTTTGTACCTGATGATCCTGGAAATACAGTGTCTATTGAATCCAGTTCAAAACAAAGTGTTTCTTCATAGTTAATGCCATCAGTCTTCTCACAAAATTATGTAAAACACAAACACCTTTAACAATTATTTCTGCAAAATCAGGTTCAACTAGTAAATTGGTATGAAACATCCTCCATTTATTGGATAGTATCCCAAATGCGCATTCCACAAAACGCCTAGCTCTTGACAGTCACAAATTAAAAACTTTTTTCTGGACATCCAAGTTTTTCTAGGACACAGCCTCAATAGGTTTTGGTTTAGACCAAACGCTTCATCACCAACAATTACGAATGGTTGTTCTTGACCGTAGTCTTCGTTTGGTAGCTTCTTAACTCCGGGTACATTCAATTTATTGTTGTGTAATTGTCCCAGGGGAGATCTTTTAAATATATTGCTATCTCCTTCTCGACCATATGCACCTACATCCACTGTCAGGAAACAATAATTAGAATCAACCAACGCCATAAGCACGATAGAAAAGAACTTTTTATAATTAAAAAGGTCTCTTCCACTATGTAGTGGACTATTATATGAATGTACTTTCCGTCCACTGCTCCTAAGCAGTTTGGAAAGTTTGCATTCTTATAAAAACCTTCCGTAGTATTCAACCATATTTCATTTGTTGGTACAGGCGTCTCTAAGGGTTGTAACTTTGTCCACAGTACAAATACAGTTTCCTTTATTATCACACGAATAGTGCTTTTTCCAACAAAGAAATCCAAATGTAATTGATTGAAAGTAGCTCCAGTTGATAATAAGTACCTGGTAAAAAATAAAAAGATTTACTTAACTTAAATATTTTAAAAAAACTCATAAATGCCCAGCCTCGAGTATTAATTTATTAACAAATTTTAGATTCTGAGCAGAGCGATGAATGTACTAATTTTACAATGATGTGTGTATTTTTATTTTTTTTTGTGTCTGTCATCACCTTTTAGGACAGTAATGGTGCTTGGATTTTCTTCAACAGTATCTTTTCTGATAGTAAAGTGAATCTAGTTGGTACTTTGGGGGTCAAAAGTAAAATGTTTCCAGTAATTTTCAAAAGCGCCGTGATAAACAAAAGAACAAATTAAGGAAAAACGGGAATTTTTTCGCAAAATTGATTTTGGTTTTTGGTTTAACTCTAAAACAAATGACCGTAGATAAATGAAATTTTGACTGAATGTTTAATATAAACATATTAGCATTTTCTATACACCATGCCTTTTTAAAAATATTTTGACTTATTTTGAGCTATTTAGGGACAGTTTCAGTTTCCAATTTTTTTAGTTTTTTATTCTATAAATATCAATAAAATTTTATTTGTTGGGTACAAAACCTTAAAAATTTAATAGAAGGCTCCTAATATATCGTTTCAAAGACAGATGAAAAATATTAAAAATCCGTTGTCACAATTTTTTTTTTTACAAGCATTTAATATTCAAATATTGACAATATACGAACAAATCACGAAAATTAGCAAATAATTTTCAGTTTAGAAAATTTTTCTATTTAAATCTAATATTTTAAAATATTATATAAGATTCCTCATAAATTTGTCTATCTTTATCAAAAAAAAAATGTCAACAAGAAAGTCAAATTAAATTTTTATGAGCATTTTAAATTTATACTTTTACAACATTTGATATTCACTTGATTTCTAATGTAACGATTTTCTTATTTTTATGTAATTAAAAAACGAATGACTGTAGATACTTGAAAACTTCACTGAATGTTTATATTAGCATTGTGTATACACCATACAATTTTGAAAATATTTTGACTCTTTTTGAGCTGTTTACGGACATTTTCAGTTTTCAATTTTTTTTCAATTTTTTTTTCTATAAACATAAATTATATTTTATTTGTTGGGTAAAAAAGCGTGAAAACTTAATGCAAGGCTCCTGATATATTGTTACCTACAATAGCAGTTGAAAAATATTAAAAATACTGGCACAATTTTTTTTTTATAAGCATTTAAGTAGATACTTATATAAAGTTTGAATTTTGACAAAATAAATAAAAATCACGAATATGTGCAAATTATTTTGAGTTAGAAATTCATAAAAACTTTTATTTTTAAATCCAAGATTATGCTTGCAATTTGAATTACAATTCATCTTTTTTTAGTTAAAGAACTACAAAAGAAATGGAAGAGTTTACGCGATGCTTTCAGAAAAGAACACACCAACTATGATAGATCTGGCTCTCAAGCATCAAAAAAACCAAAATACTGTTATTACGATGCTTTGTCATTTTTAACACCGACATTTACAGTTCGACAGTAAGTTTAGCCTACTTTAGTTACAAAATACACCTACTGTATACAATATATCTATATATTAACCTACTTATTATATAGAATTAATTTTTAGACTATATATTATATACTTACATGATAGAATGTTCTAAATGCTTTGACTCAATTTGAGCTTTCTATTGACATGAGAATTTTTCGGAATTTTTTTTAAGCAGTTGAAGTCACAATTTTGACAATTTTCAATACACAATGACATTTTCAAAATGTTTAGACTAATTTTAACTTTTAAACTAATGGCCAAAATACACACTGTTCTACAACAAGATCTAGCGAAACCACAGCCGCCTACTGTGAGTTTCGCGACCGTGGACGCACGGTATAGATCGCGTCCTCAGGTTGCGGATAGAGGGAAGCCCGGTTCCCTCGTTAGCTTCCGAGTCGGGTAGCCGGCGAATAACTAATACCCGGCCGCGGACAGCTTCGATTAAATGACCCGTAGTTCCGGACAGTATGTCCTCTGGGCCGGTTCACGGTCGCCGGCTGGGCCACCGACCCAGCCGGTGGTGCTCTTAATATGAGTTGAGAGCACGGGCGCCGGAGTTCGCTCCGTCCAGCAGCCGGGCGTCTCAGCGTAAGCCGGGTTCGGGCATGTCTCCGGGACACTGCGGTGAGTGTTACGGGCTCGCGGCTGATGGCTCGTCTGCTTAGAGTCCCTAATTCGGTAGGCGAGGGTGGTCGTCGCAAATAGTCCCACCTTTGACCAAAAGGTAGGGCTGTCGTCAGCTTGGGCAGGGCGCCTCGGCTCGGCAGGCCTCCGGGTCGGGACGTTCGGCCAGACTGACCCAAAGAACGGGTCCTTGCTGATGATGGTTCGAAAGGGTGGTGGCCGAGATTAAATTCGCACCTCGCGGACGAAAATTTGAACTGGTAGCTCTCGAGGGGGCGAAAGTCTGACTGAAGACGCTTCAGTACCACGGGAGTGAGTGGGGCCCCGTCGGCAACGACGCCGCTCACCGCGGGCGTGCAGTGATGGTTCACGCCCCTGGACGTCCGTTGCCGGTAGGAATCGTGGTGGCGGTTTTCTTACGAATACTTTGTGGTTAAGTCAATAGATGCTTATTCTAAGTTCTCGCTGACAGGCGAAAACCTCTGATGAACGGCCGTCACGACCCGGGGGCGCGAGTCACCGGTTCGTTGTCGGTTCCTCTCGGGCGTCTAGCCGCTATACCGGTGTAGTATCATCGGAGGTTGAGTGTAACCAGAAACACTCGGTGTGGGGATAGCACACAGCCAGACCAGGCGAATTCAGGCGGCACTTGGCCTGTCTTCATGGTACGGGACCTTGGTTCCGGTGCTCGTGGTCCATAGACGACGCGCGGTCGACGGACTGGGCCACCGTACGTCGACCGTGAACCTCCGCGGCTCTCGACTAGCGCACAGCGCTAATGTGAGGTCCGCGGTTGTAGCCGCAAGGCGTCAAAACCCGGGAGTCTTCGTGTTCTACAACAAGGTAATATATTGACTCAAAAGTAAGGAACAATAATATAATATGATAAACATATTATGAAATAGGCTGACAGATTGTTATTTCACTCAGAATCGTATTTCGTTTACAATGATAATATATCATTGAATTCAAAATTAACACTCAGTGACCCATCACTATCGACACCACCCAACCCAACCCACTTCCTCAGTCATCATTTTTTTAATTTCAGAAGATCTGGTAATATTTCACTATTTTCACTAGGCAATACTACGGATATGGAAGATGAAAATTCAACAGAAGATTCACCAGACATTGGGATTGCAGCTTCAAACGCTGATCCTTCTCATGATTTAACTGAGCAAATCGATACACCCATGAACACGCTTGTACCAACATCGATCTCGGGAACAAAAAAAATCACCAATAGAAAAAATAGTGATTCGATTCGCCTTCTTTATTCCAAAAGAAACTTTTTAAAGTTCTGTATAAGTCCCAGAACGAAGATGATGATGACGACAAACATTTTCTTCTGTCATTATTACCCGGAATGAAGGCAATCGATAACGCCAGTAAAATGGATGCCAGGATTGAATTGATGCAGATTATACAGAAATATGCCAGGAAACGTCCCACCGAATCAACTTCACCATATTGTCTACCCATACAACCAATTCAATATCAACCATCTATGCCAGCATTGAAAACATCTCACGAATATGGCATGCAGGATCCTGAGAATTTAATTCCTGGCTCAAGTAATAACATTTGGCACCCCATTATTAGATCAACATTTATTTCCATTTTTTATTTTATGAAGCACAGGTGTTAACATTATTTTGTTTAAATATGATACTAGGTATTTTTCATTTATTTAATTTGATTTTAAGATTTTAAGATTTTAAGTTGCATATAAAGTGTTCAATTTTGATTTTATTAGAAAAAATAATAAAGTATTTATTCAAATAAAAAATTAGTACTTACTTTAGAGTAATCGATAACCTTTCCACTGTCGGTATTGTATCACCTTTGATGTGTTGTTCTTTTTCCAAGTCACTTTTTGCAATATTTAAAAGTTCATCAAATGTTTTTACCAGTGTCGTGGTGAACTACTTTTTGACCAGGGGCCAAATACAGAATACCAACCCACCTACCCACCTAAAATTAATATTTACACTTAAATTCGAATGCCAAGGGTGATTTTATATTGTATATAAAAAAAACCTTTTTATACTCATGTACAGTATTAAAATATATTTTATAACAGTAACGTTTAAAATTTAATATGCAATTATAATAAATAACATTTATGCATACATAAAATGTTTAACAAATAATATTTAATTATTTAAAAAGTAATGACTTCTTCATTACATCACTTGTTAACGCTAACTTATCTATCGCTTCATCAATGTTAATAGAATTTGTCAAATCTTTTTCACATGATATCAAAATAAGACTTTCTAATCTACTTTGTGCCATTGTTGACCGGAGTCTAGTTTTAATAAGTTTGAGTTTTGAAAATGACCGTTCACAAGAAACGGAAGTTGTTGGAATGGTACACAAATGTTTGTATACAAGGTATAAATTCGGGAAAGCTGTAATTAAGTCAAATGAGTTAAGTAGTTGAAGCAATTGGAGTGGTGTTGTTTTCTTAGAACGGTTTATGTTGGTGTCTTGAGTTTCATTTTCATGATTTTCATCAGATTCATTTTCATGTTCATTATCGTCAGAAAAATTAATTTCAGTGTAATCGTGAACTTTTTCTGGGTTAATTTGAGATTGAAATTCTAAACAACTTTTAGAAAATACAGTATACTCCATGCGAAGTGCATCTTGGTCAATCTGAGGAATCCATATTTTCAAAGAATCAAACATATCATCAGGACATGGTTTTCCTTGATTGACACTCATTATTCTAAAAATAAATACCTAATATACACTGCTAGGTACCTTATCACCACGTAGTGGGGTGGGGGCGGGTAGTGGTGCACTGCCGCACTGGTGCAGTACCCGTATCGTATTGACATTTTGTTTAAGTATTACGTCTACCCCGGGCTAAATATATATCTTAGTCCGTGGAGTCTACAACGGTTAATCTAAATTAAAAAATAATAAGAATTATTGATAAAATGTACGAACGTGTACCACTGTACTGCACTACTGCAATAGTGCAATCTGCAATAATATTCGAATATTTTTGATACAGATTAATCATTTTTATAACATTATCAATAATGTTGTAACTTGTCCTGTAAGCGACAAGCCGACAAATGACAATACATGCTCATAACGAAACCTACCTCTTATTTATTAAATATTTTTACCCCAATTTTTACTGACACAATGACACCCAGTAACCTACCCACCCACCCACCTAATAACCAATAGGGGCCGCGGCCCCTGGAAAACCCTCTCACCACGCCACTGGTTTTTACAGACATTTTATAATAACTAAAAAATTTTTCAGGAAATCGTCGTAAGTCCTCATATATTATATTGAATTGGCCCTTTTTTGCCCTTTTTTTCCCGTAGGGATGTACCGCAAACTTCCTGTGTACAGATTTCAACAGTCTTCCAATGCCTCATTTATGGAAATTATTAGAGCTGGCGTACTTTTTGGCATAATGATAATAAATTGATACCTACCTAACTAGTAACTACGAACCTACTTCTACGAACTGACTAGTGCAAATGATCGATCGATGAGTGTCTGTCTATTATTAATTTGTGCTATTCGATTGCGATTAATATATTTATATTATTGGTACAATAATTATGGAATTTACCATTTTTTTTTTAAATATTGTATAGATATATGAGGCGGAATACGCTCGACGGATACTTCTTGTATAGCTCGACCGTCCGAAAACGCCGTGTATAGCCCCGGTCTAAGGCAAGGGCGTCCGCAGAAATTTTTCAAGGGGGGGGCAAAATATTTTAATTTTTGGTTCATTATCTAATTAGTGATAAAGTACCTACTTTTTGTGACATGTTTTCTCTCATGTTGGTAGGGAACGTAAATATTCAATTATTATTTAAGTGTAGATATTTAGTACTTAATCTTACATCATTAGTTTTGATTAATTGATGTACAATTTTAAATTAACAAATGGATTTTTTTAATAATTCAAATATAACCATTGATTTGATAAATAGGTTACTTAGGTACCTATATAATTACATTTGTATACCTTCTAAAAAATAAAGAAAGAACTACCAAACCGTTTGGAAGAAACTTAATTTTTTTTTTCACAAGAACTATTTAAAATACTTGAACTACTTGGTTCACTATCTTCGACATCTTTGTTATAACTATTACAGGTATGATTTTGTATTTCATTTTGTTTAGAACTATTATTACTCTTTTTCTGAATATTAAATATACTAAACATTATTACTATCGAAGTAAATGTTAATCCAAAAATTGAAATATTTTGAGAACTATCGAAGTAAATGTTAATCCAAAAATTAAAATATTTTGAGAACTATCAACTAGGTATAATTCTTACATAGAAAGATACAAGATTCTTATAACAGTAAAAACAATAAATATAATAATTATTCTCAATCACTGATAAGAAAAATTTCAAATACTGTTAAGAATTCAGCTGTCATTTTCAGATGTTTATCTACAACCGTGGTAACTATTATTGTACATGATTGTACCTATGCAATTTATATTCTATGACAGTATGACCATTAATTATTTTAAACAAAAAAAATTAAAAAACCAATAAAAATTTGGTTGATACTGCTACTGCACTTGGCCTCACCATCATAATTGAGTGTAATAAAAATCAGCCGGTGAAAAAATGTTTTTTGGTTTTAATTTAAAAATATTTATTTTGTGATATTTTATAAAACATAATGAATATGATAATTAACCCAGAAAAAAGCCAAGGGAGAGGCAACTGCCCCTACTTGCCCCCCCCCCCCCTGCGGACGCCCTTGGTCTAAGCCTCTAAGGTACCAACAGTCAACAGGTCGTCAGACGAAGAGTCTGAAATCGACATCTTAAATTTGACATCTGAAATTGATGTAGAACAGATTAGTCAGTTAGATACCGAACTAGACGTAGAGCTATTAATTTTACATGTTGAAAGTAGACCTATTTTAGACGTTGGATAAATGTTCAGACCGCAATGAAAAACGAAAAGCTTGGAGGTAAGTGTTTGGTTTGACAAATCCAGGGTTTGAACATCTAATCAATTTACGAACCAAAAACTGATAGGTATATAAAATACACTATTAATAATATAATTAACAGACTTGGGTAGTATTCAGAATACTTTTTAAATATTTCTTTTGTCTATAGTATCATCAAAAGCATTTGGGCTTTGAGCATTAAGTTTAAATGAATTTTCAATTTCTCTTCGCAAAATATAAAAGCCACTATCTGGTTGTGTCAAATAACCACGAGACTTAAGGTTTGTTAACTTAGCTGCAATGAGGTGCCTTTATCTACTAACTTGATCATAGCTGCTATGGTATATACTACTCATACTTTCATCTGTTGTAGAAATTGACATATTATTTTCCTAAATATAATTAAATACATTTTAGGTAGGTATGTGTCAATTTATTATTAATTATTATAATTATTTATATTAGCTATCGTAAGTTATTTTAATAAAAGTTACATTAAAACTACTAACCTCTACAAATGAAATACTTTTATGGCTAGTACTTGCTACAGTAGAATCATTAAAATCCATTTTATGAGTAGAAACATTTACCTAAGTGCAATTTTATTAATTACATTTTTCTATTATTTTTTTAATAAACAAGTTAATTTTAGGTTGTAAATTTACATATAAGTTATTTTCATCCGACCAGGATTTTTGTTTAACAATTGGCATGGTACTGAACTTTTGATTTTGATTCTCTTCACAACTTTTTATCAAATTTAACTTTACCATTGGTAAAGCCTTTCTTTAAGTGAGGCTTTTTAAAACATATCTTGAGATATGGTAAAAGTAGAATCAATATAATATTAAGTTGTAGGTTCACAGATTTTAATTTAATTATTAAGTCAATTATATAGTTAATACCTACTTAATAGATTTATTCAAATTATAAGTCACACTTACATAAATCTTATAAATTGTGATTTGTAATTAATACTTACCGAGTACTTACTAGTCCCTTGTCCTGATACCCAGGTGTCAATTATATCTTCTTCAAGAAAGTGATCACCACAAATCCTAGACCTTTTATTTAAAGTCTTGCAAATAACTCTTTCCCATTTTTCATGGGAGGCTATTGGAACACTAAACCTAGATTTAGAATTTCCCATACAATTTTCAATGCAACATTTATCTAACCGAGGCGGCATATTGATTAAGATAAATAATATATTAATATAAAAATATTAATGAGTTGTCTGTACTCTGTTGTATAATATAATTAATAAAAGGACAACGTTTTAAAATGCACTACTTTGGCTAATTAGTTTATACTGTAAACACAGATTCGATGTAAATATTATCTCAAATATTTGTGGTTATTAATATTTTAATCCGCGCTTATAACTATTATATTGTGCTTATACACTGATTAATTAAGTTTGTGATAAAAGTGATATAATAACAAATTAAAAATACGCGGGAATTAGTATGTAAATACTACACAAGACTGCGCTAGTTGTCCTGCCGCAACGTGAGAAGGTGCGGGCTTCACTTATCACAGGTTCGTTGCGTATCCAGTATATTAATCCGTGGTACCTGCACTGACCGCAACGGCGGCCCTTCCAGTCAGTTTCTGTTCTGTAATCGCCGTCATCGCCGCCGCGTACCTCCGCACGACACCCAGACAGCAATTACATGTTATAAAAATACTACCAAAACATTATAAAATTAATAGCAATATTATAGTAAACGTTTTCGAAATATTCTCAAAAAATTTCAAAGCATTACAATAACGTTATCACAAACTTTTTTGGCCACAGGATTAAGGTTAGCATAATCTGGTATTAAAAACACTGCAATAACATTATCCCAATTAAACTACACTAATATTATATGTAAAACTTTATGATAATATTATTTGATATAATTATTAAAATATTCCTTATTCAACAGTAGAATTCATTTCACCTGATATTATAATTATGTATGAATCAAGATTTTCCATACATTTAATAACTTAAATATATACAAATTATAATTTTTCTTGAAACCAGCTACAATTTTTTTATTTCAGAAAAGGAACTAATTAACTATATTGACAATTAACAAATAAAATAAAAATGATCCTTTATTTTTAATATATAATAATATCATATTAAAATACATTTTTTACTGTATAGGTTAGGCCAAAATACTAATTGTTAATAACTATAATTATCATTTGAGATTTTTTGCTTCTTTTTTTTTAATTCTAAAAGGTGCATGAGACAGCCAAGTATCCAAACAGTTATCTATGTCTTTTTCTGGAACATTGTTGTATTTAACTGATTTCCTGATTGAATCTGGAAAAAAATAACATAAAATGTTTTAAAAAAATTATATTACATAATATATACTGCTTATACTGCTTGGTTATATAACCAAGCAGTTATCAATGGTGTGGTGATAAATAATATTATAACTCTAGCACAAATACGAAAAAAACCACCTACCCTGATTAGTAATTATAACATATCTAAATATATATATTAAACTAAAATGGTGGTTTACCGTGAAATATTTTCCTTGTATAGTTGTGTGTGAATATCAGAAATTCAGAACTAAGTTTTTTTGTTAGATAGAAGGCCCCGGGGTTACCCAATACCCAGATCCATCCACAACTGCAGATTTATACTGACGCAATTGCATCAGTTAAGCACCGATTAGCATGCCACTGGCAGTAATTTATTACCAATATTACATTATGCTAGCACAAATGTAAAAAACTAAATTAAATTGAAACAGCTCATAATTTTTAATTTCTTACCTATTATCACACAATAACTCAAAAGACTTGAAAATGAAAGTTTTTGTTTGAACCCAAATAATGAATAATATGACAAAATGTTATCGTTAAACATGCGTCCAACTACTCTTCGAACACTGTTGCCCAAGTCATTGTTTTCAATTAAAACTGATAATTTGGTAACCTGCAAAACCATTTTAATTGGTATCAAGGTGGATTGATAAGTTGTAAACACTTCCACCCACCCGTCTTAGATAAAGTGATCGAAAACTTTACTCCAGTTAAATATGCCGCTAGGTTCGATGCCTACCCTATAGAGGATAAGAAATGTTAATATTTATATGTGATTTAAATGTATTAAGGTTTTCAACTTTTTTTGTAGAAATACGTTATAATATGGTATACCTATAGTATATGAGTTATGATATATTTAATAATACATATAAATATATAATATAATAATGTAAAATAGCTATTTTTGTATTCATAAATTATATAATATAATTAAGATGTGTCCAAATTTTGAAGTAACTACCTACTCGTTATTACACTATGGATATAGGTATACATTTAGAAAATTATATATTTTATACATGTTTATACTAATCTAGAATTTTTTTCAAAAGTTTTTCGTTTTTTTTCTGACACTTTGTTGTTATGTTTTTTGCAGGCAAAAATCATTCTTGTATTTAGGTAAAATTTTACGATGTATTTAGTTAATTCATATTCATGATCTGTACAACCAACTTTAGATCCAATGCCTTGAAAAATTACTCCATCCATAACTATACATTAAAAAATGAAAAAAGAAATACATATATGATATAGGTAAGTATAAACATCTTTCGGTCATTAGGCAAACCAGTGTTACACCCAGGAACAAAACATAAATTAGGCATTTTATAATGTTCTAAATTTATATTAACAAAACAATAAAAATTAAATGAAAATTTAGTGTGACGATTTTTCATTAATTAATAATTTTGATGTTGATACAAAAGAATTAATGCAAGCACCAATTCCTTGTATTTTGTATTTATTTGTGATCCTACTATATTGTTTTCTTTACCACCAATTAAACCAATCAGAAAGCAAATTGTGACTCCAGGGATAGTTCATAAATAATAGACATTTTTTATTGTGGTTAAAAAATTATAATTTATTCATATTTTAACAAATACAGTGGTAATTTATTGTGTTTTGCTTAAATTTTCTTTAAATCTTGCATACGAAGCTGTGTATTTTTGCTCCTCTATCGGGTAGGCAACGCGATCTAGCGGTGAGCTAAACTGGAGTAATATTTTCAATCAACTAATAAGCCAAGTGTTTACACCTTATCAATCCACCTTGATTGGTATTATAAAAAAATTAATGTTAAAAAGTTGTTTGATTGAAAAAATCTTTATCATATTTTATTTTAATATTAATATTATTAAAGCATATAACATAATATAGAAGTCCTGTAATCATTTCCATAGTAGGACCATTTGTGTGTTCTTGTTTTAACAAAGGTTTATCATAATTCCGATTAAGATTAATAGATAGGTTTTTCATTTCATCATAAAATCCAGTTGTATCATTATTATGTTTCTCAATATTTCGATTTATTATTTGATGCAAAGGTTTTTCGTGTTTTCTTAGTAATGATTTTAATTTCTTCATGTAGGTTTCAAAATTAAATGTACTACAATTATCAAGTGGTCCATATAATTCATAATCATCACATATATGTAAAAGCCCGTGAATGTTATGTGACACATAGTGCAGGGCTTGAAACCGAAAAAAATTTTTCCGGTTTTGGTTTCGGATACCGGTTTTGATTTTTTCCGATTTCGGTTTCGGTTTCGGATACCGGTATCAATTTTTTCCGATTTCGGTTTCGGTTTCGGATACCGGTATCAATTTTTTCCTATTTCGGTTTCGGTTTTGGATACCGGTATCGATTTTTTCCGGTTTAGGTTTCGGATACCGGTATTGACTTTTTTCGATTTCGGTTTCGGATACCGGTATCGATTTTTTCCGATTTCGGTTTCGGTTTCGGATACCGGTATTCATTTTTTCCGTTTCGATTTCGGTTTTTAACGGTTTTAACCGGTATTCAAAATCAGTATCGAATATCGATTTTAATCCCTGTATTTATAATAATTTATAATGACATAAAATACTGGCGTAGGAACCTACTTGCCAATCGCCAAACATTGCGTGGCGTACGATTTAGCGTCTGGTTGCATGACAAGTACTATAGTATTTGCAATCAATGATAATATTTACACTGGAATGAATACGTAATTATGATGTATTAAGTTATAGCCTCTCCACTTCATAACACATTTTCCAAATGATTTGCGACCTAATTTTTTAAGAGTTTGTGTAACTTCATCGTTTATAAGTTGAAACTATTTTCTCAATGGGGGGCTAACTTCATGTGTGTCCCACCCACCACATTAATCAATTTGATCACAGCTTGATTATATTATACCAATCTAGATTAGGTATATTAATCCAATAGAGTATGGTTGATGGTGGGTTGGTAGGGAGCACATTTTTCAGTCGACGGCTTTTAGGGAAACCCAGACAATATTATGTTAAGGCCTTATAATGTATTATAATAAATTATAAATAATATAAATTATTTATAACTATACTATAATTATTGACTCAGTATTTCATAATTTATTCTTGGCTATTGTGTTAATTTAATGTAGGACAATTATGCCACATAGTTATTTCTGTCTTCTGATCGTCTGTGGAGGCAGAAAAACACGACAGCTTATAATATAGTAAATAATAATAGTATTATTGTTATACAATTTTTATTATAGCGTATTTCAGCGTATACTGTTTTAGAATACGACTAAACGATTAATCCATTTACCGAAATAATATATAATATATAAATATAATAATTAATATATTGCGTATAATAATAATATTATATTATGCGTCTAATTATTTTATATACTCTGTGAAATTACCTATGCAAACATACGGGTGCCCGCAGACGAAGACTACTGAACCAGTGCAGCTAGACCTACTTACATAATAATATATTATTATATTATAAAATATTAATTATAATAATATAATATATTAGGCACCATTAATCATTATTAATATCAATTGTATTACTGCAGAACTCAGAAAGTATACATAATAATATAAATATCTATATAGGTAGGTACTTTCGTGTTAATATTTTAGAATCCAGTAAAAAACTAAGTAAAAAAAAAAGAAGGCATAGCACATGAAATAGGCTACAGGTCTAATAAATGGACCAAATTAATAATTTTTAATAATATTATTATAAACGCGCCATGGAAACGGCAATATAAATATTATAAACTATTAAAATAAATAATAATATATAATATTTATATGATAATTTATAAAAACTAATAATATACCAACAAAAATACTATGTCAACTCCATGTAAAAAAAAATTTAATTTAATTTAATTCTTCGTTTTGCGCACGGAGTAAACAATTACCTCAGACGTATTAATACAGTATATTATTAATTTAATATGATAATTTATAAAAGACTAATGAACTTTAACTTAGTATAGTTATTTTTTATTTAAGGATAACTTAACTTTAACTAGTTAAAAAAATTGGTTAACTTGCCCAGCTTTGCCATCATCCACATGATGTTATAATAAATAATTATATCTTATAAGTTATAATATTATATTTAATATTGATCACATTGTTTGATAGAAGGATAGAACAAATTTACATAATATACACGATATTTATTATTTTCTACCATATGCATTATAATTTATATTATTCATAGCTTTTAAACAGAAATTCAATTATAGTCTATAGGTTTATTTTAAATGCGTAGAACTTTTTAAATGTTAGATACTAATGTTATAATTTTTCGACTTCCGTTTCAGATATCATATTATTTCTTAAGATTTCGTCTTAAGTTTCAAAAAACGGTATTATTTTTTCCGATTTCGATTTCGGTTTCACAGATATCGGTATTTATGTTTTCCGATTTCGGTTTCGGTTTCGGAAACCGGTATTGATTTTTTCCGTTTTCGGTTTCGGTTTCAGATACCGGTATCGATTTTTTCCGATTTCGGTTTCGGTTTTGGATACCGGTATTATTTTTTTCCGATTTCGGTTTCGGTTTTTAAAGGTTTAAACCGGTATTCAAAACCGGTATCGAAAATCGGTTTCAAGCCCTGACATAGTGTTTACCATATAATACCTCAAATTGTTTAACAAAATAATCAAGAAGCTGCCTTGCATAATCTAACATATGAAAACGATCTGGACTTAGTAGTATTAACATTGAAATATTTAATGACATGAAATGTACATAACAATCAAGTCTTAAAATATTTTTCAATACAATTGTTCCCAAATAAATTAAAAATAATCGAAACATCGGTCATAATCAAAAATTACATATTAGTTGTGGTCACCCCTCAAAAAGGTTACATACTAGTTGCGGTCACTCAAATAATAATAACTAAGTATACTAAATAATATAATATAGTTTATATAATAATTAAATATAAAATTAATATTTCGTTTATTTATTTAATTTAGAAAAATGTATTAATCAACATTTTCCTTCCCATTTATATCGAAAAGATAACAGACTTAGGACTGTCTACACAATTATTTATTGTTTAGGTATGGTTAAAAATGTTGATACTTAGGTTTAAATTACGTGGTTAAACTTGTGTCAAAATATAGTATACATATAATATGTATAATAATAATAATAATAATTTAAAATTTTAAAATTTTGTAGCTATAAATTTAAAGGAAATCGACTTTAGATATTCAACCCGATTTATTTCGCCTTCTTCATAATATTGTATTTGTTGTGCTAAAAAATGCTTTTTCTATTGAAATTGTATTACCACGACTGGTTTTTGTACAATTCATTTTTAAATAGCCATTCGTTTGAATTTCATTTAAAGCGTCAATAAATATAAAAATATTAGGATGAGAGTGGTAAAACATGCTATTGAGCTTTGAATGAAAACTTTCGCATGCATTGGTTGTTCGTGTTATAGAAGACCAACATTCAGCCCATAATGACGGTGGATATCTCGAATCTTCCCTTACATACACTTCTAAAATATAGTCTGTAAATGCAGTCAATTTTGAATTATTAGGTGGAAGAAGAGCCATAATATCTGTGACAAAACAATCGGCAACTTCATAGATACG